TTATCAGCTTTTGGTTTTTCCTTTTTTTTTTTTTTTTTTCAGTTGACTTGGATTAGTTAGGTATTTTTGGTTTACACCATGTCTGATTATCACATTGTTCTTTAGCAACTCTAATAGTACTAAGGAGCCTCCAATTTCCTGAGGAAAGTGCCCCATCAAATTGATACTCTCTACTCTTGATTTGGTTCAACTAGCATAGTTTGCACGATCACATCTAGTTACATAATGAAAAAAGTTCAGATATCATTGTAATCACATGTTAACTAAATGCTAGATGAAAGTAATCAAATGTATTTGGTAAAGGGTTTTGTCCTGTAGATGAGCTGTTTCATAACATGTTTCTAGGTGGAATACTATGGGACTCCGGTTAGCTTGAAGAGCATTGCTCAAATTAGCACTCCTGATGCCAGTTCTCTTTTGGTACAGCCATATGACAAATCAAGGTATATTATGTTGTAATACATGACATACCAGAGAGGTTGAAATAGATAACAAGCATCAAACTGATCTTATTCAAGCTTATTGTATAATTGCATCTAAGGCATTCTTCAATCAACAATGATAATTGGACACTTCAATAGTATAAACATTAATTTAACACCCATCATTTCTCTCTATCTCCCTCTTAGTGTAATATTATATCACCTATCACATTACCACTCCTTCCTCTTCTATATACTAGCTTTTGATGTCAACGAAATATTATTCTTAAACCTTATTCTTCTTCAATCACAGGATATAAAACAATTTTTAAAATTGTGATTGAGTGTGTTGACGTGCTATCCTGTGTGTAAAGTAATTAATACTTAGTGAACTCTTGATTTTTCATATTTTTTTAGCTTGAAGGCTATAGAGAAAGCCATAGTTAGCTCTGATCTTGGTATGACTCCAAATAATGATGGAGAATTGATACGATTGAGCATCCCGCAGTTGACATCTGATAGGAGGAAGGTATTATCCATTTTCATTGATGCTGCAATGTCTAAGTTCATTCTTTTATAAGATTTCTTGTGACCTCTTGTTCTTTCTCTGTGAACTACATTCTTACTCACTGACTGCAAGTAATATTCTTAATTGGTTAACTACAAAAAAAATTGCATAGCATCACCTCTTCTACAGTTATGACCCATGAGAAAAGGGATCTCTAAAGGAAAAAAGTTAACTTATTATGTTGCTGGCCATAATTCCAATAGAATTGTTTTAATTATCAATTTATTTTGTTCGTGAAATAGTACTGTTTTTATATAAAGATCCTTTACACATAAATTCTACAGAATATTTTGAAGGTTTTAATTAGTATGTTGATTTCATGATGTCTGAATAATTTAGGGTTTGTTTTTGTTTTTTCTAAAGGAAAAGTGTTTTTTAAGTTAAGATATATGTTTATATATATATATATATATATATATATTTTTAAAGTATTGTTTAAGTGCTTTCTTTTGAAGTGAAAAGTAATAGCTTTTGAAAAATAAAAGAAGTTTTACTATAGATTTGCTTTTTTTGTTCAATCTTAAATGAATGAGCTCTTAAGCTATAATTTTATTTTATTTTGCTTTTCTTTCTAGGAACTATCGAAGATAGTGGCTAAACAAGCTGAAGAAGGGAAGGTACAGTGAACTTGCTCCTGTTTATTGCCAATTTGATGGATTTACTCTCCCTAAAACCTCTTTCGTGGTTAAGAAAGGAACAAACATCAGCCAATTATTGAAATGTAAATACCAAATTTGGTTTTCTTTCCCTGTTATTCTGAAACTTGTAATTGTAAGCAGTGAGGATTACCAGTTAATAACATGAATAGTTAAAGGCAGTAACGTATGTGAAGATTGCTCATTGTTTGGTTGTACTACCATAATATTACTTGCTATGTAAATCATATATTTTTATTTATTGTATTTTCTAGAATAAAAAATAAATATTTTGGCTAAATTGCATCTGTTTATAATTTCCTTTTGAATGCTTGTGCATTTTCATTTTTTTAGGTGGCTTTGAGGAATATAAGAAGAGATGCATTGAAAGCTTATGATAAACTTGAGAAGGTTTGAATACTCGGATTATTAACCTTAACTCTCTTCAGCGATTCTTTTTTTTGTGTTGTGTGGCATTTATACTCCTTTTTCAGTTTGTTAGATTCTGTGTGTTAATTATTTTGTTGGAATTTTCTGATAGGAGAAAAAGCTCTCAGAAGATAATGTGAAGGATTTGTCAAGTGATTTGCAGGTAACTTTAGATCACTTGTGTGGGGTTCTATGTACTTTTAGTCCATTTAAAACTCCAGCTGTCATCTCCCTTTTCTATTTTTCTTGGGGATGGGGCAATTGTGTGAAATTGAAATGGAACAATCACAAACCAAGCCTGTTACACACAATAAACAATGTGACAAAAGGAATTATTTCCCTGCCCCAAATTAAAGGAAGTGGTTTTTGCCTGCTTTGCGTATAGTGAGAAATGTTTGGTTCTGTATGTATCAAATCAAAGAGTGGAATTGATATATTTTTAAGTTGTAGACATGACAATTTCTATTCAACTTTCATTATACCTTGGCAAATATCTTCATTTTTTGTCACCTGCCTGTTCAATGTCAGTGTGAATTTTTCTGTTAGCATAATTAATTTAAATTTAATTTTATTACTAGTGAATGATGGATTTATTAGCCAAGCTTATCATTTGCAATAAGGAATATACATTTTTCCTTTATTATCCTCACGGTAATTATTTTATTATGTAGAAGCTGACAGATGAGTATATGAAGAAAGTCGATACCATCTTCAAACAGAAAGAAAAGGTATTTTATATTTCCACTTAACCAATATGGTTATTAATAGCTTATGATAGATGGTAGATTAATCTTCACCAAAACAAAAAAGATGGTAGATTAATGAGGTGCTTAAACACAGATTGCATGTCCAAGGCCACGTGTGTAATAATATTTTAGTAATATCTTCTATGATTGATTTCCCCATATTTTATGTCCACCACATTAGTCAACATGTTATGGAAATTAGCATTCTAAAGTTCTACAAATATTGCTTCATTTGAACATATTGTACCATGGGTAGATGAAGTGAGTCACTGAGTTCATTTGCAAATGTAGACAAATTTGGTGCCTCTGACTTGACTGTGGTCTAGTATCTAGATCAATAACTTGATGGAGATTTATATCTTTTGTGGTTGCGAAAGAAGGATGTATACTAATAAGAAGTTAGAATTGACTTACATCTAGCAAAATCAAATTATGCATTATTATAAGAGTCATCACTCATCAGTATTTACTGTTTTTAAATTTTATTTTCTATACTCCCTGATTTATCAGTATTAACTGTTTTTAAATTTTTATTTTCTATATTCCCTGATTTATCAGTATTAACTGTTTTTAAATTTTAAGTGACTTCTTCTCCCTGTATTTCAGGAGTTGCTGACAGTTTGATGCTTTGATCCAAAAAGTAAATGTTGAGTTCTATCTAAAGAAGGTCAAATTTTGTGTCTACTTTGCTTTGTGTTTGGATAGTTAATGCATATGTTTATTTGTTATACAGAATACAGACTTTTGAATTAAATGGGTGTTTTTCCAAATTGAAAGGTGAGTTCATGCCTATAAATTGGATTTATTTACATAATTCATCGTTGAAATTAGACTATTATGAATCATTCTTGTCGAACTCTCGAGTCTACTTGTAGATTCGTACAAGTTTACTTTTATAGGTATAGAAATTTAGTTAACTTATTTATGGATAAACTTAGGTGAACAGAGGGTATATCTGGGCACATACGGCTTGTAAGTTGTAACATTTGATAACACAGCAGACATCCTTTTACCTTGGTTTTGGAGCAAAATCAAATAATAACTCATCATGTGTTCTGTGTCTGTGTCTCTATTATGACTTATAATGGGGTTTTACTTTGTGTTTGAATATTATCATAGCTTTATTTAATATGTTTTTGTTTTAGACAAACTTTTACAAGTCTGCTAGTTGAGTTTATTGAAACTGAGTTTACTTAGAGTTTTGGATTTGTCACCTTGTACGGAATGGAATGGTAAGGCCATTAGTAGTTGGTTTATATTGCTCATAGCTTTTGCTTTCTAAACTATGGGAGATGTAGACGTGGAGCATATAGCTAGATGCTCCAATAGTATTCATGTTTGTAGTCTTTGTTGGAATCGACTGTAGTATCCAATTGATACTTATTTATTTGATCAGTGAATAGTGGAGGTCCAAATTGGATTTTTGGGTTGTTTAGTTTGAGAGAAGTAAAAGTGAAATTGAAAAGAAATAGTATTTTGATTTAGATTGAAAGGAGGAGAGAAATGAGATTAAAAATTAGAATATTATTTTATTCATATATTACCTTTAGCCCACCCCAGTTGTTAAGGCATAAAAGCCCATTCCTATAAGAAATGTACTGCCTATGTTATTACCACTTTTTAATTTCCCTTGTTACTAATTTATCTCAACCAAGTGATTCCAATTTTTAACCTCTTCTATTTGTGTTTTTCTATCAATTACTCACCTAAACGAAGTCTTAAAGAAAGAGTAATACATTACCAAAAAAAAAAAAAAACGAAGAAAGAGCTATAAGCCTATAACAATTGTTACAAATATTCTATTATTCCATTACTTATATTGTATCAACCCCGTTGAATTTGATCTAAGACTAATTTTTTAAAACTATTAATCACAAAATTCCTTTTAACAATTCTCTCTTAATACCGCATCTAGAACACGGATGTAATGATTCTAACTCAGTCATTATATTCGAGTTATACAACACATTACTTTTAGTTAACATTTTATCCTTAGTAGACAATTTATCGCAAGTGATTTATGTTTGATATATGAACAAGTTTAAGTTTGACTCTTGGCATAATCCATCTCTTTTACTCAGGCTTGTGAGTTGGGACCAACTATGAAACTATAAATAGAGTTAAAGGAGCTAGATTAAGAAAAGAAAATCAGAAAACCCAAATTTTCCTTATCAATTAAATGATATGACCGGATCAATTGGTGCGAGGGACTCTGATCAGCTAGTTCCTGTTGGGTGGGTTTTCCACAATTTTTGTCAGACCCTTTCTATATATATATATTCTTCTTTTCTTCTTTTCTTGGGTATACAATAACAAAATCGTTTGTACAATAAGGAAATATAACCCCTGCACATGCATGCTGAGTTGTTTCAACAATGTTGAAAGCACAGTCATGATTTTGAAGGGTGGCTAAATGTATTGGGGTTCAGTTTGAGCATTAAAAAATTAATTAGGTATATGTTATTGTACATAATAATCTCTGCCCGTCATTATTTTTATTTTTATTTTATATACAATTATGTATTTCAAAAGTATATTATAAAATTAAAAAGTTTTTTTTTTCTTTGTAGTCTCATTTTAATGTTGACAAAATATTTTTCAATGTATAATTCCTTTTCGTTTTTCTACTTTTAGCAAACAAGTTCAATGGTGAGATAAGAAATCATTTTAGTAAATGTTCTAGAAATCGTTCATGTGATCAAACTGTCTTTAAGATAGTCTTTATCATTTGAAACACCAGAGAACTCAAAGTGACGTGATCAACAAAGGTGTGCACTCTGAAGCCAAAATATTCGGGAAAATAATCCAAAATACTGAGGTAAGTAAAACCCTCAAACTCTAGGTATCTCAAGCAATATTTTTATTTATTAGAAGTATTAGTTTTTTTTTACCCTCATAACATTTTTCTTTCCTTAAACAATGTCCCACCTATTTTTCATTTTTTAATCCCTATTGCTTAATATTATTTTCTTTATATTATTGAGGGTTACTTTAACTTAACCGATAATTTAAAGATTGAGTTTTAGATATATAATTGCATTTAATATTTGGAAGGAGAATTTTCTACTGTAGACTGTAGTAGTTTATTTGACTTGAGCAAGATTGTCCCATTCTACGAAGGAAAATTAATTGCAACAGTATAATTTAATTTTTGTGAAGATTAGTCTTTGATTGTATCTTTGAAACACTTCACAAACTATGTTCATAAATAAATAAATAAAATTGCAATAGTATAATTAGTTATTTTTCATTTCTAAAACTTTGAAATATTTTTTTAAAATATTGTATAATTTTGATAAAAATTAATTTTATTTGCATGTCATATAAAATCATTTTTGTTAATTAAATAAATTACCTTAAAACTTGCTTCTGATCCAATTAACGTGGACTGGACCGTATATTTTAAGTAAACGATAGAGATGACTCTGAATTCATAGCAAGAAGTTATATTTATGATGAAGTTGACTGAATAAACCCCATATAAGTTTTCCCAACATGTTACACCTTACAGATATTGAACTGTGCTGTAAAAAAGGTGTCGAACGTATTCGATAATACTAAGTTAAAAATTTAACCGATTTTTATATATTAAATAGGAATAATTTTATTCTACAATAATATTTTTAGAAATTATTTTTTTCACCAAAAAAAATCATAATTTAACTAAATAGCTTATATTGTTTAAAAACAATTTTTAACTTGATAAAAAAGAAAAAGACATGTTTCACTGTAATTCAACTAGTATTCCATACGCGTTATTTCTTGTGTTTTGCAGGTATCCACTGGGAAAGGGCTTTTCCTTTTGGTTCCCTTCATTTCATATATTTGTAAAAATCTTATTTCAGTTGACCAAATGTTTGTTTACTCCGTTGGAAGCCGAATATATTCAAATTTTGGACGTAGAGGAAAGTTCACAATCGTTAATCAAAACATTTTAAATGAATAAAAAATGAAGCCACAAACCTAACATTTTTTGAACATTGGTCTAGAGTGTTCCATTTACAGCTTGCTACAGTCTACAGAAACATTATTAAATAGTTTCGTCATCCTAAAACTCATCTTGAAAGAAAGAAACCAAAGCATTATCAGAACTTTTTTCTTTTATAATAATAGTCCTATAGTAAGTATAGTTCATTAAAAAAAGAAGGGAATATTTTATTGGTGTTGCTTCCTAGTGCAATTAAATATCATTATCGGTATTGTATTTCCTAATCATAGCGATCTCCACGATTAGCAAGGAAACAAACAAATTCACATTTCCGGAAATCTTCACTATTCAAGAACGCAACTCCTATGTGGAACAACGAGTGTTTGCCACTTCAACAGATACATCCAAATTAAATTAATCTTCCTACTTTTTTTCTATCAAGACAACTTGAATCCAACAAATTTAATTAATTAAAGATTAGATTTCTTTCTTGGGGTTTATTATTTGTTTAAGTTGAATGAGTGCGTTTGTCTTAACCCGCTAATACATGCCATTATTTTATCATCAGTTGTGCATGTTCGTTAAAAAATATTATACGTGGTAACTAGCTTAGGTCAAAATATATACAATAAGCTCAATTAGCTACTTTAATAAACAAGCATTATATTAATATCCAAATCGCGATTGGTCATGTGCAGGTAGAGTGAGCCCATTAATCAATGACCAAATCTCATTGAAGGTGCGCATAAACTTAGTTTAATAACTTAATAATTTGGGCATTACCAATAAAATAATAGTATAAGACAAGTGGAAGAGGAAGGGAATACCCCTCCTAGCTTTTCATGACATTATTCTATGCAAATAAAAAGTGTCGGAAAGCCGATGAAGGACGCTTTTATTATTATTTTTTTCAATTTTATAATTTAATCATTTGTTTATGCCTTAAGAGTAGAACTTGTTCATGCATTATATTTGTATAATACAGTTTCAATAACGTGTACTTTTATTAAATCAAATATAGTGCTTGCTTTTCCTTGTGTCAGAAAAATATACTTTGCTTTGATTTTTATCGCTCTTTTAATAAACTAATACCCCTTTCTCTTGTCCAAAGGATGCAAAGATTAATTGGGGATTTAACAATAACTAGGGCTATTAAACAAAGGATAAAGGCATCTTTGTGCATCGAGAAACATACTTTTGATCACTAAGATGTATGTCTTGTATAAGGGTATGTTTAAGTTACTTCAAATTCAACCTTTTATGCAAGTAAAATAAATTTTAGTTTCACCCAGCAAAGTCACGAACTATTTTTTTTTTCTGTCACAAAGATAAGATGACGGTGGGACAGGTTTTGCCCCGTATAGCAAATAAATTATAGAAAACGTAGAATGTGGACCAGACCTAATGAAAGACACACTATGTGTTTGATTAACTTTTTTTAAAAAAAAAATAACGATAAAAAATAATTATTTTTGACAAAAAAAATCAACTATAAAGTTTTAAACTCATTCACAAACTACCTTAATATATGACTAGTAATAAGTGATAAACTTTAACACTATAAATCAGTAGCCGACTTAGAACCTGATTCGGTGGGAGTAGTTAATTTTAAAATAATAATAATAATAATAATATTATTATTATAAAAAAATGTGAAGTAAAATCAAATGTTTAGGGTAATACCGTGAGTTTTTATTTATTATGTGTATGACGCTTGAGGTGTGTTGTGGTGTCTTGATGGTTTTCTAGTTTGGGAACTAGTTGATTCTAAGAGGGGGAAAGTATATAAGGTTTCTTTTGAAAACTAAATCTCATAAACTCAACTTTTCATGACTTTAAAGAGAGAGTAGAGTGAGAACTTTGGTGGCTGAACCTTCTTCTTCAATTGAGTCTTATAAACTTAACTTCTCTTAAACCTTAAAAATCTTCTTCTTCTTTGATTCTCAAGAGTCTTGAGCTACATTTTCCTTGTAGCTAGTTTAGGGGTAAGGGAAGTTATAACTCACTTTAGTGCATGGTTGATTTTTGTTGAGTGTATGAATTGGAACTCAAAGTCTATTTTGATTTGTATGAAATGGGATTGCATATGGTGAAGTTGTGGAGTTTTGAGTATG